CTGTCTTCTCCACCTGGCATCCTCTGGCTCAGGCTCCAGAACGGGGCGCTCTGGTACTCTGCTGCAGTGCGTGCTGCGAGTGGAGGGTTCTCAGGTCCACCATTGTCTTTACCATTCATGCTTTTAGTTTTTAGAGACCAGGTGTGCACTGGCCTGGATGGTGGGTGTCAGGGGCCTGGATAGTGGGTGTCGGGGGCCTGGATGGCGGGTGTCGGGGGTCTGAACTCATGAGTGTTCTTCTCTGGGTCCTTCTGAGGGTTACCCAAGGGGATTTCTATCGCTCCAGGCATGGCTGTGCCACTGATGACTTCAGAGGTGTGAGTCCCTAGGCCAGTGGTCGGCAAACTCATTAGCCAACAGAGCCAAATATCAACAGTGCTTCTTCAAAATAGACTCGCCCAGGCCGAAGTACGTGCGCCCGCACATGGTATTTTGTGGAAGAGTCACACTCAAGGGGCCAAAGAGCCGCATGTGGCTTGCGAGCCGCAGTGCCGACCACGGCCCTAGGCTCATTCAAGGAAAGTGAAGTCTGTCCTCATGCCCCAGCCATTTGGGCTGAACCAGGCTGCCAGCTCCACCACATGGGCTCTGCCTGCAGCCAGCCTTGCGGCGCTGCCTCCACCTGTTCTCCACTCTGGCCTCGGGTCTCACACACTGAAACAGCCTCACCTCTCTCTCTTTTCTCCTTACCTTCCCTCTCCTTCCCTTGAGCACAAAACCATTCAGAAACATGAAGGACTGAAGAATGAGGTTGGTGATTCTATTATCAATATTATTAGCCTGATACCACACCTACAAAAAGTGGAAAGCGCTCTGATCTGTTATATTTGGCAGCATTCCCTCCTAATTGCTCACTTACAATAATTAGTTCATAGGGGCAAGAGGTTACAGTCTTGCCCCGGCTGGTGTGGCTCACTTGGTTGGGTGTCGCCCTTGCACTGCAGGGTTGCCAGTTCCATTCTCGGTCAGCGTTTGCCTGGGTTGCGGCTCGATCCCTGGCGGGGAGCGTGCAGAAGGCAGCCGATCGATGTTAATGTTCTGCTTTCACATCGATGTTTTGATGTTTCTCTCTCTCCCTCTCATTTCTCGCTCTAAAAATCAATTACAAATCTTTAAAAAAATTAAAATCTCTTACAGGACAATTTCTGGCCAACTCTTGGTGGCTGAGTCAAAATGCTAAACCATAAGGAACCCCACTTTCTGATCAAACAACGTGATCACTGAGCGCAGAATGAGACAGAGTCTCAGTCACTGAGAGTAAGCCCGGAGATGAGAGGAGTAGTTATATTGTCACGTGAGCCAATAGCCTTCGGCTCTGACACTTGTCAGACACCGGGCGCCACGGCCAGCAGTGACTTGCAGCCTCACCGCCGGAGTCAGGTCCGCTTTTCTCATTTCCCCAACATCTGTTATAAAACGTTTCAGACATGCAGAGAAGTTGGAAGAATTGCATCGTGAATATCCATGTGCTGGCTGTCTCGTCCTGTCTGTCCGTCTGTCCACCCACTGGCCTCTGGTCCCACAGGGCCTCCCCCGGTGTGGCAGGGCCGCTGGTGGCCACCACCTCCCTCCTCTGGCTAGCACCACCTCCCCGGGGTTCTCTTCCTTCGCTCATTTCTCAGAATGACCCCTCACCCTTGTGACTATGAAGACCGGGGACCTGTCTTCAGGTTATTTGGGAGATGGGTTTTGAGTAGACATACATGTGAGGTCTCCACCCAGGGGAGGTGTGATCTGAGCCACGTAATTTTCCTAACTTGGGTTTCCGCCAGGCACTCCCACCCACTGCCCCATCTGCGGTTTCCAGGCCTTTCCTTGTGCCAGGGAAACCATCCCGGTTAAACTACCAGTGTCAGCCCCATTTAAATCACTTCCCAGTTCCTCCCAGGGCTGCTGTCCCTGGTCCTAGGTGAGGGTGAGAGGGCCCAGCCACCCATGCTGTGCTACCAGGACACCCCTGCTCCCTCCCTGGCTCCCTTCTTCCAGGGTGGGGAGGAAGGAAGGAAGAAGGAAGGCAGGAAGGCAGGAAGGCAGGAAGGCAGGAAGGCAGGAAGGAAGGAAGGAAGGAAGGAAGGAAGGAAGGAAGAAAGAAAGAAAGAAAGAAAAGAGAGGGAAGTGCACGCCCTTGCAACAGGCCATTCTGTGGGCTCCCACTGAGGCTGCCACTGTGGCCATGTGGGACACAGGCGTCCAAATTTGAAC